GTTTTCAGAATGTTCAGAGAACATTCAAAAGGAAGTTCTTCGTAGCTAATGTTTGCAAAATGATAAAATGGAATGTTCCCTTAGCTATCAAATAACCAAAATAAATAAATAAATAAAATAATAAATGAAATGTCACCTAAGACCTTTAAATAAAAATGTCTTTTCAGAAACAACGTTTTCATAACATTATTTCATAACATATTTTTGTTCCAGCAATGCTATGAGTTCTGCTGTGTTATAGCATCTCTATCCTTCTCGAAGAGCTGTAGGCTATACAAATATTCTCTGATGCCATTTTTACTCTGAAATAATCAATACATCTTTCATATTGAAACCACTTTACAGCAGGCTATAAATTATAAATTAGTCAAAATCGCACCCTAAATGTCAGATAAGAGCACAGCATATAATGCTTTCCTCTCTAAGATATGAACTAATGATTAGGCTACAGGATGTCAACATCACATGACACATCAGCTAGTCATGGCCCAAACACTTAGTCAGTTGTGGTTTCCTCTCCAATAATGTCTAGGTGCTAAATCCTCAAAACTTTAAGTCATATTTATCAAAGCATTGCACCCCACATGTGGCATTTGCGGATAATTAACATGCACTGCTACCTTATGCAACGATTACTCATGGCTGCTTCCACAGTGGACATTTTCTGCTCTGTTTACAAAGTCTGTCCTCTGTCTAATTATAGAAATTCTTTGCTTTGATTGATTTTTCCTAAAGCTGGTGGTGCCGGCTCTGCGGAGAGGCGAGTAGGCTACAGTGAGGATGATAATTTCGTTGCAGATGAATGGAGCCCATTGTCACGGTCAGAGCAGCGCTTTTCTTCATCCCCCAGTGTTGTGACACCCGTCCATCTCCGTCTGTGATGCACGGCACCCTTAGCAACCGGAAAACAATGACTGTCAATCATACTGCCAGGGACTCGACGGAATATCTATTTATTAGGGTGACCATGCGTGCTCTTTTTCCCGGACACTTCCTGGCCAGGATTTCTATATTGCCGAAAATATCCAGGTTTTGGCTTTGTTTTCATTTTCAAAAGTAGTTTGACCAATAACATGCAGGCATTGTACATAATCGACCAGAGAAGGTGGGATCTACAGAGTACGGTCAAAGCGATGCAAATACGCGTACAGATGTGTTCGACATGAAGCGGCGCTGCACAGACCGATCGGTGTAGAGAACCGTGAGAGCGATTCGAAAGCATAGGAGCCGTCGCTGCTCTCTATAGCTCTCACGGTGCTTTGATGTCGTAACACCGATCGGTCTGCGCAGCTCAAACAAAGCCAAAACCTAGATATTGTATGCAATATAGAAATCCTGCCCGGGAAAAAAGGGCACGTATGGTCACCCTATATTTATTTAAATTCTATTTACTTAACAAAGCTTTTGTCAACAAGGCAGATAGTGTAGAACTGAGTCACAATGTGTTTCTCAACTCAGCATCCCAGATGCTCATTAAATTCAGTGGCCTCTGGAGGTGAATCATTTAGTTATGAAATTCCAGACAATTAGTTCAGACACAAGACCTGTTCGACCTTAGAGTGACATTTCACCAGTAATTTCATTTTGAGAGAGGATGCTGGGTGAACAAGGTCTGTTTTTGTAAACACTAAAATCAGATAAGTTTTTTTAACTGCCTAGGCCTATTTCATGCATGTAGGTTTCGTGGAATGTGTGCACATATTTCCACATGTTGAGCAAAGATATGACGCCATTTAATCTTGTCTGCGACATCCTCTTTTTGCTGAGAAAACCTATTGCATATTTTTTTGTCATACTCTGGTGTCTGGTGCATGAACTTATTACCATTTACTCGCCCTCATGTCATTCTCAGTGACTTTTTCTGTGGAACACAAAAGAAGATGTTTTAAAGAATGTTGTTAACTAATCAGTTTCATTTCCCATTGACTTTCAGTGTATGGACACAAAATACAACATTATCAACATTCTTCAAAAATATCATCTTTTGTGTGGAATGGATATTTAAAATGTTCAAGAATTTCCAGCTGGATTTGAAATTCAACTGTTTTATTCTCAAAGAGAAGGGAAAAGGAAAAATAAGGATCGGTTTTGTGAGGCCTTTTGTGAAAGGAACTCTCTTCAAAACAACTCTGTATTCATAGTGGCACAAAGACAGTTTTGAAAAAAAAGGGCTCTCATGAGTTCGGGGCATTGGAGGCTAGTGGTGGGTAATGATGCTATGCAGTGGCGGATTTAGGCATGGGCGACATGGGCAACCGACCAGGGGTGCGTTTCCCAAAAGCATCGTTAGCTAACTATGGTAGGCCTAGTTAGTTCCATTTAAATCTATTGATAACGACGGAACTTGCGACCATAGTTGCTTTTGGGAAACGCACCCCAGGGCGGCATCTTGCACAAGGAAAAAAAAGTTTTTTTTTTACCGCTCATTTGCACCACAAGTCAATATCATGTCACCTTGTGCATCAATTAACCTGGTCGGGACTCGGCGTGTGCGCCCGGAGAAGTAGCCTCACTCAGACGCAAAGGCGGAGGGTGAACCAGCTCCAGGTTAAGTCTATAGCCTGTTTAGCCTAAAATTACGCACACCACAAACCCGTCATTTTGCCAGATATGGGTGTTATGTCATAAAATATTTGTTTATACTACTAAATTTGTATTTAACCGGATGACATTTTTAAAAAATCATTACGCTTTTATTTCCACCGTTTTTCAAACAACGAATAAAAGCGAACAGAACATTTACATTATCAGAGAACATTGCTGACTTAAGTCTAGTCAAGTTTAAACTATCAAATAATAGTCTATATATACTGTATAGGCCTATCACTTACGTTATGCTATGCTATTACACACAAGGGCAGCAAACATTACTTTTTCTGACCAACTAGCTTACATAACCAGACAGTATGTAATTTTGTAATATATTGTATTTTTTTAAACAAACGTAGCATCACTCACTTTATTAATGCTTTTGCTGTACAATTATGCGTTTATTTATTTGCCTCAATTTGTAATAATTTAAATATAGAGATTTATACAGGCAAAAGTATAGGGGCACACACACACACACACACACACACACACACACACACACACACACACACGCATGTATATAGCACTAGAACGGCCACTGATGCTGTGTTAATGGTGCCCTCTTGTGGTTCTCAGAAAATGACTGGTTAAAAAAAAAAAAGAGAGATATTTAGGTTGCAATGTTGATTATTGAACACATGAGGGCACACACTGCTAAAATTCTGATGACTTTATCAAAGGACAACCAACCGTTTTTTAACTACAAGAGAGTGCTAATATTGCATCATATCCACAGCCCCAAACCTCTTGGTTCTTTAGATGGAATCTGTTATTAATTCATTGTATATATGTTGGTTTGCCTGTTGCACAGTTGACTTTCATCAATACCTTGCCTTAATCTCCCACCATATGTATAGAGCATGGATTAAGATAAATACATACATATTAGAATTATGCCTTTAGAGTGCAAATCCCTCCCTTTCCAGTGGGCCAAATCTATCCCAACTGTACCCTCCAGAACTATGTGAGTAATGTAAAGCATATAAGTCTATAAATAGAAGGTGTGAAATGCATGGGAGTATCAAGGCTGATTTAATGGGCAGGCTTTTGAAGAGTTAAACGTGACATACTCCCCATTCTTGTTTCCAAGAGAAAATCAAGCAAATCGAGAGCAGTTGTGTGGGTGAGCTGGTGAGGGGTATAAGTGAATGGAGGAAATTCCACGTCTCCTCACTGATCTGAATGAGTTCCTATAGACCTGGATACGTAACTTGGCAACATGAAAATCAAATAATTGTGTGTTCAAATATATGTTTTTAAAAGGCTTCTGATCTTCTGTATGAAAGAGCATCACATCCAAATCAATAAAAAATAAAATGTTTTGCTAACGTCAAGTTATGAAAAAGAGATTTCTGAATGTCCAGGTTTTTCTTGGTTATGTGAATGTTACAGAAAACATTTAGGGAATGTACAATTTTAGTTCAAAGTTATCTAATCTTTAATAATGTTCTCAAAACAATAGGACAAAAACATTATCATTACATTGTTCATGGAACGTTTTCCTGAAACGTTTTAATTGGAGGTTTGTCTAACATTTTTTAAATGTTACTACTTGTTTTAGAATGTTTAGAGAATATGCAAAAGTAACATTCAAATAATGTTTGCAAAATTATGAAATGGAATGTTCCCTTACCAAATGTTTTTTTTAACCAAGAAAAAAAGTTTTTAAAACAATTTTAAAAGTGGATAATTTGAATGTTCAGAGAACATTCAGAAATAATAACTTTGAGAGAACCTTGCCAGAACATTAGCCAACGTTCTGAGAACATTTCCTGTTTGCTGGGATAAAGGCTGCTGGGCCTAATATTTTAGTGTGTGACATAATTGCACTGAATGGGGCAGGCGCATCATCCTAATGATGCTGTCAGCCAAAATAAACACTCCAAGACATTTCCACTGAATCTGCTTCAGTTTTTAATAGGTCTCTCAGTTTTTAATAGGTCCATTTCTGGTGGAACTGGATGATAAGTGGGCTGTGTTCACCCGTGACAGAAGGTCCTGGAAATTAGTTAAAGTTTGGCACAATCATAAGCCCTCTCTCTCTCTCCAGCAGTCATGGTATTAAATTAAGCCTGGCCAAAGCCAGGTATTGGTGTTGAATATTGTTTCTGCAAATAGATTGTGTTTTTTGCTATGTGTGATCAAAGAGTTATAGGAAGAGTTGTCTTTGTAGGTCTCTTTTTGAGGTCTTTTAAAGGTTAAAGCAGAGAAGCATCCTTAACCCTGTGTAGTCATGTTCTTGGAGTAAGATCAATATAAATGTTAAATGTATGGATATTAACTGCTATTAAAACTTTATTGTTTCCCATCAACAGAGGTGCATAGCTGTGTTCTGAATGGAGTCAGCACTGCCTTGAGTGAGTCCTCCTCTATCTGGAGTGATTTAAAGGAAGTATCTGAGATTGAAGTCATGAACTCCATCAGCTGCACCTTTGATGATCCATTTGATTTCAGTGAAGAGTCTTGGGATCAAGTGAGTAGCCTGCTCAACATGTCTATGTGGCAAATAAACTCAGTTTTTATGAGTTATGTGTTTGTAGATTACTTTAAAGAAATAAAGCGTCATAGCCTCATAATAGGGGTGAAGAAGTTGGCTATAACAGCACTAAAATAATCCTAAACCACTAAATAACAACAAATGCCACAACCACAACACTTTCCTAAGCACCTGGACAAACTTTCCTGATTTATGAGGTCATATTATGTAATGATAAAAAATTAAGGTAATTTTGATGTATTGTAAATTTTAATCAGTTTTAAAAGGTTGCATATTTATGATGCTAGTGGTTAATGAAACTAGCTTGAATAAATTAATATTAATTTATTCAAGATTATTTCAGGGATTCTCACTGCTAGGTTGACAGAGAAAGATGCAGAATGGATGAACTACAACAAATTTATGAAATATGTCTACACTACAAGCTGTCTGTTCACTAAAAGCAGGAAAAGGAGGAGTTTGAACACTTTCCAAGTGCCAAATGTGATTGAAATTAACAGGAAATCTAAAAAAAATAGATTTTTTCCAAAGTATTTGTATATATAAATATAAATATATCACATTATTTTTTTCAATTCTAACCTTATGTTTTATTTCTTTTATGTGTTGCTGCATCAACACTATTTTTTTTCTTATATTTTTTCTTCATTACTTTATTCATTTAGAAGTAAGCACATTGTGCTTATGGGGGCATTTAGCCCCCCTGATTCCTATATATTAAGCTCAAACCAAGCGCTATTTAACAGAGATTCACGGTGCAATAAACGGATGTTCGCGGAACGTTTTTTGGGGGGGGGTCTTGAACCTTTTGGAGACTTCATCTTTACGCACGCGCGTAATCCCCTCCGGCGCGTAATGATGCGCTCTGGCGCTTGGAGACGCGCAGGTATTCCTCCAGGGACGATTAGTCAGGGACAAATCAGAAGTTTCTGTGGAGATGCGTTCTGTTGTGCGTGAAGCAAAGCTTTGCGCTTCCCAATCAACGGTGCCAAAATCAGACAGACGGATGGATTTCATGCTTTGCGAGATCGATGGATAAACAGAGGGAAAGATGGATGGTGGCGTCTCTGTAGGGTGACATCAGAAACGGGCATGCCACCAGAAACGCACACAATTTTCCAGGAACGCTGAGAAACTGTTGCTGTTTCTTATTGTTTTTGTGTTTTTATTTAAGTGTGATAACATGCTGCAGACAACTGACAACAAGATACACGTGAGTATACTTTTGATTTTTCATGAATAGTACTACTAGAATACTAGCAGCAATACTCAAACAGATTAGCATTAGTTCTATAGCCAGAACATTGAATGAAGGATAACCCAGAAATAATGGCATGAATGAAAATTGTCTGTTGCTTTCATACTTTCAATCTAAATTGAAGTGTATTGAGAGCAGCCAAATTAAGAAGCAATAGTCTGACCTACATCTATCCTCACCATACTCCCTCCCCCCTTTCTCCTAAATTGAATTTGATATGCACGCACACTGCTGATGAACACTGAGCCTGGGTACATTGTATTCTCCTCTCACCTGTTCAGGTTGCCAATAACCTGATGGACATGGACCAGGACCCTCGCAAACGGCTGTGCTTTGCTGACGGCCGAAGGAAAGTGGACTATGTGCTGGTGTACCACTATCGAAAACGCTCCTCCGTCAGGAGGTCTCCTAGTCAACACAGACTGTCCATCATCTCCAATGGTAGTTATCCTTTAGGAGTGGAGGAAAAAGACCCAGAGGGAGGGAAGGATGAACCTGCGGAGGTGGTGGTGGATGTCGGACCCCTAGACCCTGCTGATGGGGAGAAAATCATGATCCGAGAGGAGTTCGAAGGCAATTTAAAGGATGCTGGGCTGGAAATTGAGTGTGATAAAGAGGTGAGTAGAAACTGAATAAATCTTATTTGTGCTGGTTTTACATGCCATTTGAGAATGAACTGATTTTGCTTTAGCCAGATGCATCTAAGTGCGTTTTTGGTCTTTTTAAGGGCCACATCAGGTGCTGATTTTATAGAAAGCTGTCTTTAGATCAGTTGAGTCGTGCCTTGTCAAAAACAATATCAGTCATGTGACCACTTCTATTCATATTCTAGAAATTTTAGGAAATAAGATCTTGACCATGAAAATTGACTCCAGTTTTTATAGAAAGCTGTCTTTAGATCAGTTGAGTCGTGCCTTGTCAAAAACAATATCAGTCATGTGACCACTTCTATTCATATCCTAGAAATGTTAGGAAATAAGATCTTGACCATGAAAATTGACTCCAGTTCGGTTTTCATAAAGACTGTTTCCTTAATAGTGTATGTGTGTGTGTGTGAATTGTGAGCTAGTCTGTCTTTCCAAGTCTTAGTACGCAGCCTAGTATTGGATAGAGTTACCATTTCACAGGGCACCAACTTGGGAATTATCCATGTATCATTGTTTTGTTATGTAAGCCATTACTCTTAAAGATGGCCCATTATGGAGTAATTGGTCTGTATTTGTATGGTATTATTAATGGTCCCAAATAAACTCTTCTTCATCTGTTGCTAGTAAGCTTGTTTTTATACCATATCTGGGGAATCAGGTGAACTCTCCGTACTTAAAAAGCTAATGGACATGCATTCTTGTCTAAAGAAAAACTCTCTTGTAGACTATAGCAGAAAACACGTTGTTATTGTGCATCTGTCTTTGTGATTGTTTTGTACTGCATGTCTTCATCTGTAGGGTGATTAGACCATGAATGCTTGTGGTGTGAAGCCAAGTAAGATTATCAGGGTGGTAATAGTAGTGATTGTCTACTCTCTCTCAGAAGAGCTGTGAACCAGCCTTTGACAGCACATTGAGTTAACTGTACCCTAGCCTGAAAGAGACCAAATTTCTCCTCCAAATTTAACGCTTTGCTATTTGTCGTTGTTGTAAATGATAGATACCCCTTTTCAACTCGGACATAATCATCTGAGTCTGAGGTGTTTTTTTTATCATGCATCGTGCATTTAAAAAGACAGAGATATTAAACAGTGCACTCCATAGCATCGTTTCCCCATGGGAAGCCTAGTAAGGTGGCAAAATGTGCTTGCAGTGACACGCTTTGTCATGATGGCTTTCATCATCATCATCATCATTCAACAGTCTTCTCCTGGTTTGTCTGATCACAAACGTTGCATAATGTTTTGCCCCAGCCGGTGTTTTCTGCTCTCTGACCTCTACAAATACCTGCGGTCAGATGCTCTGAATTATTCAGCCGGTAAGTGAAGTTTGATTGAAGACAGTCTGAACTTGGGCAGCGGGTCAAGTCACACCTGGCATGTTCCTCTTATCTTGGCACATCGTTAGCGTTTACTATCACTCTGGCTGAATATGCTATCTCAGATAGATTCAGGCATGTGAGGTGCCTGGTGGATTGACTTCATAGGGAGTGAAGCTTTGTTTTGAATATCATCAGTGCTCAAGGGGATGTCACGGCCGCTGGTATCATGTTTCAGTGGCCGCGTTAGCTGTGTTTGTTTGTCTTAATAGCCCCGGTCTGATGGATAACATTGGCTTTCTATGGTGGCAATAAAAAAACAAGCCTAAAAACAAAACAAAACAAACAAAAAAAAAAAACAGAGGGAAGACGTGGTGAGAAGACTTTTCCTGTACCTTTCTCAATGGTATAAATATGCATGCATGATGCATTTAAAGAGAGTTAATTAAAGATGAAAGATTCAGCATTCTTATCCACTTTAGATGTGTTCTCAGCATCATTGCCTGCAGTAACAAGTGAACCATCATCATGTTCGCAAGTCTCTGATGAGTCTAGTCTCATGTCCTTGAGGTGGAGTTCAAATCAAGTTACAAGTCTCTTTTTTATATATTGCAGGCTAATCTGAGTAATTTATAAATGCACTCAATAGAAAATTTCTTCTCATTTTCCCTTAGTAAATGAATGGGTAACTATGGTAACTGGGATTTGTTTTCCCTCAAGCCAAACCATGCTAAACCTACATTTTACATTATATATTTAAATTTTTCTAGAATACTTTATGTAGTCTAATTTCATATACATGTATTTTCTAAAGTAGATGCCAGTGCTTCTCTCATTATCATTGTCTGTAAACCTTTGGACAGTAAACCAGTTTTAGTCACCATGTTGAAACGCTGCTGTGTAATACAAAATGATGCATAATCTCACAAGAGTTACGGCATGCAAAAGAGACTCCCTTTTATCTGAACAGTGTCTTCTTGTGGACCTAAAGTCTGTTCGCAAGTCTTTAATTTGGAGTCTCAAGGCAAACTGTTTAAGTTAGACTTAAGTTTGAGTCTCAGACTAGAGTTTGCAATTCAGGTGTAAGCCATGAATTCTTAGGAGATGTTGAGACAGAGATGTTGTTTCTCAACTCTTAGTTTGAGTTAATTATACCAAATGTCAAAGCAAGGTTCAATCTGCCATGAAGAACCGTTTCCACTCATGGGTCTTCGGGAGCCCCTCAAATGTCAGTCGCAGCCAGTTTCTGTAGTGATGGCTCCCGCTCAGACTGTGCTCAAATCGAGCTAATTGCCTTACCCTGCTGAGATGAAGTACTAATTGGAATATCTTATCCTAATTAACCTTCTCAGATCCACATGTTATTTTTATCTCTCCTTTTTGAGTGTGTGTGTGTGGAGGGGGCAGAGAAAAATCACCCGTCGTGTTGGAACGCAGGGTACGGTGAGGATGTCCTCAGGTTTCCATCATCTCTTTCTGTCTCATCACTCTCATCTCATCCCGATGTCTCTTTCAGTTTCATCTTCCTTTCTTCTTAACACATGCTTCTCTAGATGGCATGGCTGACCACTGCCAGACAGATACAGTTACTGTCATCTCTGTATGGGCACGACGCAGCTTCAGTGTTAGGTTTCATGGCTACAACTTGCAAAAAGAGATCATTTCCATACCCCCCAAGTATATGTAATATATAGTCCCTATTTAGGGGCTCTTGGATGGGCTTGATGACAATCTGCCACTCTTTTGACATTGATACTACCTTTTCTAGGTTATTTTCAATTTATGTGTTTGTGTTTGAATGCTGCCGATTACCACAGGCAATAATTTCCACAGTATGTTTAAACAAATGTGAAATGCATTTACAGTAAAACACTTAAAAACCTAAGAGGCAAGTGGTCAGCACTGCAAATTAGTGCCTAAAATATGCAAATATAACACTTCTGAGGCTGGTGTAATTGAATCTATAAACTAGAATGGTTTCACCTCTAAAAGGGCAATTTAGTCAACTTTGCAACTCAAGTAACATTTTTATGTACTTAAAACTTAAAATGCATGACCCAAAAACATACCTCGCATAAAGGGCATATACTAGATTTAGTAGTTTTCTTTAGAGAAAAGGCATCCTGTTTTTATCTGTATTTTCAATGTAATGAAAACATTAAAGAATTTGATTATACACAAACGTTTAAATAATATTCATTTGTTAATTTGTGGACACTCTATAAATAATGCCAGTGGACACTCTAGAAATAATGCGCGAAGATTGTACCTGTAGGGCTACAACAGTTTGTCACTGGGGCAATACCTTTAAAGGGACGTCTTTGTACCTTAATTACCCCTAAAAGGGTTAAGAGTAGTACCTTAAAGGTCTATATTACTGATGAGGTACAAAGTTGTCCGTTTAAGGGTACTGTCTTAAGGTACAGTTTTTGCATATTTTGACAGTGCATGTACTTATACAATAAAAATTCAATTAAAGTGAACTAATTACCGAAATATTGTCAAAATTCAATAGGAAATGCATATGGGTCAGCATTTATCTTGTCTTAATTGGCCTGAACCAAAGTTTATGTTAAGAACAGGTCACTTATGCTTCAGAACTATTTTAGTTTCTCTAATTGTAACTTTTTATTCATAAAATGACAAAAATCAACTTGGAGACAGTATGTCAAGACATTTCTTTTCAATTCTTTCCCCAGAACAAGGCTCATGGTCATGCTTTCATTCGGCTACATGCGCCTTGGCAGGTGTTGAGCAGAGAGGCAGAGTTTCTCAAGATCAAGGTGCCCACCAAGAAGGTAAGACACAGCAAAGCTCCCTCTGAATCTCAAGACAAACCCGAGTCCCTTTGGATGTCCTAATGCGAGTTCTCCACAAGCCCTCAGAAGTCCCTGCATGCGTTATGTAGTGTGTCTCTGATGTATGTAAGGGAGAGGGGGAAAAGCACAAACGACTGATGCTGATTGTTGGTCTAATGCTTTACTGCTAATTTTGACCATAAAGACTTTGTCTCTTGTTCAGAGTTACGAGTTGAGGGAAGAAAAAGGTCTGGCTGCCACCATGAATGAAGTGTGGCGGAAGTTAAATCAACCGTTCCAGCCCAAAGTACCCCATCAGGAGCAAGAACACAGCCGTACCAAGTTCCTTTCGCACTGTTTCTCCCGGGACAAGCTCCACCTGTGAGAACCTGTCATGGTTGGGGTGATGTGGGGTTAAATGTCATCAGTGGCCACATGGGATTTTGTTCCTTTCTTAGAGGACTTGACAGGATTTGTTTGATTGCCAAAGGAATCTGGGTAACTCAAGGAAAGTCTCATCGCTATTTTTGGCCTTTTTGCAGGTACAACATCAATTCAAAGGACAACTTCTTCGACAATGCCACAAGGAGCCGAATAGTGAGTCTCTTTTACTTTGCTCGTGAAAGTTCTGTTCAGCCGGAATGGTACAATGTGATACGTGTTCTCTGGATGTTGAAAAGAGAACACGATATACAAGAGGGAACAAAAGTTATTTGCTAGCAGCAGGAGACTGCCGTCTCTAGGCACCGTTCTAGGAAACCAATTCCGCCGGGGTTTTTTCCAGGAACAATTTTCAGGTTTCTTGTTTGCTTGTATCTCTCTCACTCTTTCTCTCTCACTGTCTACCCCAGGTGTATGAAATCCTCAGACGCACCTCCTGCACACGGACCTGCCAAACCATGGGTTAGTAATACATTAATCCATAACCTAAGCACGGACTAGTGTTCGGGAAATCCTCAGGATAGTCAGGGCCAGAATGAGAGCTTTGGATGTGGGCACGGTGCAGTTGGAACAGGGTGCAACACAAGCCCATGCCATATGCTCCCTTGGACCGAGCCACTGCGCAGACGGACCACCGGGGGCTACTTTGAGATCGAGGCTATCCGGCAGAAGGGATGGCTTGGTGCTCTCTTTAGTTCTCCAGCCATGCCCCTCCTTTTCTTTCCGTCTCTCATACTTTCTCTCTTTGGTTTTGTACAAACTGAGTAAATTGGGTCATAAAGTTCTGGGATTGGGATCTGAATTGAAGCCGGGTCCATTGAGGTGGAAAGAGGGGGGCAATGGGTAGTGGTGGTCTTTCCAGCTTGTTGCTGGGGAGCTACTTTATTAATTGAGGGCTAATCACCAGAGCATACGTGTCGTTCCTTTGAGGACTGATTAATTACTTTGATTAAAGCCTGTGTTCCACATGTCAGCTGTCTTCCGCCTCAAGGACTCAGGCTGCCGGCTTTCCAAAAGCAATGAAGTTGGGCCATTTTAAAGTCAAAGCAGTCAATCATTATTCCCGCAGATGATGTCGGGTATTTTAAGCTCTCTTTTTTGCCTCGCAGGTATCACCACACTGATAGCCAACGGGGTTTATGATTCAGCGTTCCCTCTACACGATGTGAGTTGTTTTTTCTGGATTCCTTTGCCATTCTATCTCCTGTCAGGTTGACTTGAAATGTGTTTTTGTATGATTACAGGGAGACTTCCACCCCAGTGGACAAGCTGAGGGGAAGAACGACAGACAAGTATGCCGCTATTGAGTTGCATTTTTATGCAATGAATCAGAAGGGAGAATGTGATTAAATTCTGTATTTTTGTTGTACTGGTTTCAGCTGTTACATGATGAATGGGCAAGATACGGTGCTTTTTACAAGTATCAGCCTGTTGATCTTATCAGGTAACTCTCAGATCACTTTGACACAGTGCTTTAGATCAGAGATGCCCAAACCAGGGCCTGCGGCACAGATTTGGCCCGACATGTCAGGAAAAATTGGAAAAAGCATGCCATTTTTCATGCATACCTTCATTTCTTATTTATAGTTGGGGTAACATTTTATTTAAGGACCAGTTCTCACTATTAACTAGTTGTTTATTAGCATGCATATTACTAGCACATTGGCTGTTTAATAGTACTTATAATGCACATATTAATGCCTTGTTCTGCATGACCATATTTTAGATTCCTTAATCCACTCTATACCTAAACTTAACAACTACATTACTAACTATTAATAAGCAGCAAATTAGGAATTTATTGAGGCAAAAAGTCACAGTTAATAGTTAGTTAACAGTGAGAATTCGACCTTAAAATAAACTGTGACCATAGCTGGATATAATGCAACATTTACTTTTAGCACAAGGTCCTCAATAACATTAGATTTTTGGCCTTTTGTAGTAAAATGTTTGGACACCTCTGCTTTAGATCAATACTTGATTGATTACCTCATGCAACGCAAACACCCACTGTTTTCTGTGTAAACATTAGGAAGTACTTTGGGGAGAAGATAGGTCTCTACTTTGCCTGGCTTGGCGTCTATACTCAGCTTTTGATCCCTGCGTCTGTGGTGGGCATCATTGTGTTCTTCTACGGCTGGGCCACTGTGGAAACAAACATACCTAGGTACGTGCCAATAAAGCCCAACGAGGGCTGGGCACGGGTCCCTGTTGTGGGTGGGCACGCAACAGCTGCCAGCTTGAGAGTAACGGACTGTGATTATTATATTCCGCTGATATTAAAGTGATAATTAGAATCAAGGAACATAGTTCTGGTGTTTATGTGGTTTCATCTGATTCATGGGATTAATTTATGCTAGAATTGCAAGTGCTGTTAGACTGTGCTCAGCATGCATTTGTGACTGAAACATCCCTGTGGAGAAAGGGGAATATTGTGATCCTTTTAAATGTCAGTACTTGTTTGAGTACACAGTGAACCAGACAGTATTATTTCTGAGACCGCAGTGAATATTTCTGTCCAGTGCAGCCACATTTTGCGAGGTCACAAGATAAAATAGTGTTGCATTTTTAATTGATACTTTAGACATTGAGCCATGCTGATGGATAAACATGCTGCACCATATCAAGTCCATAATTAATTTATTTTATTGGACTGTTGCACGACCATGTCTAATTGTGTGTGTGTGTGTGTGATTTTGTGTGCTTTACTGCCAGCCAGGAGATGTGTGATGAGGATCAGAACTTCACTATGTGTCCCCTCTGTGATCGAGCATGTGACTACTGGCATCTCAGCACAGCTTGTGGCACGGCACGTGCCAGCCATCTCTTTGACAACCCGGCTACCGTGTTCTTCGCCATCTTCATGTCCGTCTGGGGTACGCCTCAAAATTACTCTCGTTTCATTATCTCTCTATCTATTGTTTTACGCCATTATCTACACACATTGATCTGATGGTTCATACTGTACATCAACATATGATTAGCTTACACTCTTTAAAATAAAGGTTCCAAAAGGGAGTTTTCGGGCAATTCCATTACAGAACAATTTTTGGTTCCCCAAATAACCTCTTTGGAACCTTTATTTTAAAGAGTGTAAGTTAATCATATGTTAATGTACAGTATGAACCTTAGTCCACTACATCTTTATTTTTGAACACAAGAATAACAAACCTAGTTTAGATATTACCCACTTTTGTATATTATTTACGTGAAGAGCTGCCTTAGATCTGTCATTCAGTCCTGTTGAATATGAGACCAGTTCGAGCCGCTAGCATTAATGTGCAGAAGTGCTGCTGTCTCCATAGTGATGGAGCTGAAGAGATGTTGAATGGCCAGAGAGTAGTGTTACCTCTTTCTGTCACTGCCTGCGTCCCCGGGCCTGGCTGATGGAGGCATTGTGAAACCACTCAATTCCTGACACTGCCGTCTTTGACACCTGCATTGGGTAGCAGAAGCAATACATTATTACTCATACAGAGACCCCCAGCAGCGTGTAGAGAGACTGCATCTGTTTGTATGTAGGTACTGAGATGTATTAATTAGCCATATAATGCAGTTTCAAAGCACACACACTGCCTAGGTCTTTGCTGTTTTGTTTACTGTGGATTTAAAGGGGTAGTTCACCCCAAAATAAAAAATCTGTCATCATTTACTCACATAAACCTGTATGAATTTCTTTCTTCTGTGTATCTTAACTTAGTGAAATAGCTATACGTTTTAATATAATCAAAGTAAATCAGCAAAGAATGATCTAAATTTTGGTCTGTTGGTCACACAAAGCGGCTGAATGGTTTTAGAAGACCTGAATTATATAGTGCACAAGTCATATGGACTACTTTCATAAGATGGAAAAGAGCATCATGAACATTCTGCTAAACATCTTTTTTTGTGGTTGACTGAAGAAAAATATACATATTTGGAATGATATGAAAGTGGGTAAATAATGACAGAATGTCATTTTTGGATAATTATTTGCAAAAAATATGATAACTATTTCAATTCAAGTTTATTTGTACAGCGCTTTTCACGATACAAATCATTGCAAAGCAACTTTACAGCAAATTAAGTTTCTACAATATTTAGTGGTAACTATTTGGCTGAACTTAATTGAATCATGGACAGTGGTTCCATATAATAGAAATTTGTTAACATGACTGAATCAAGTTATTTTGAAGTAAACTGTTACATATACTAGCAAACAAAATAAAACCTTTCTTTATACATACGATATTAAGTGTTGGCAGCCAGAAAATGGTACTGGTTATATCCATGACACTCCCACAGTGTTTTTTTATTAAATTAATCTTATTAGTAGTTTCTCATCTCAAGCACTCAATCTCAACACGTCACAAGAATGGTAACTCCCAAAACCATCAACATAACATAAAGCCTCTCAAATACCAACATAATAAAACATTAAACATGAACAAGTCCTCCCATTTCCTTATCTTGCAAAAAAACAAAACATAAATTAAATTAATCTTATTAGTAGTTTCTCAACTCAAGCACTCAATCTCAACACTTCACAAGAATGGTAACTCCCAAAACCATCAACATAACATAAAGCCTCTCAAATACCAACATAATAAAACATTAAACATGAACAAGTCCTCCCATTTCCTTATCTTGCAAAAAAACAAAACATAAAAACACTTTATTTCAACATTTAGCCTACACTTCCTATCCATCCCAGTGCAAAGCATGATGGGAAGTGGAAAATGTGTTCCCAGTTTACACAACAAAAATAATTTCTGGAGTTTTAACTAAAATGGATTAAGTAAATTGGTTGAACATGATGAAATCTTGAAGAATTATGTTGAATTAACTTTTATTGAAGTAAATTGAACAAGCAGAATATTTTTGAGCATTCCTTTAATGGACTTGTAGATGAGATGTAATTTGTCTTACATTAAGAAATGACACTTTGCCCCTTATAAATGATCTTTTGCTTCTCTTTTCTCATAAAGCACATAGTTGTCAGCATTCATTTACTGAATGCCTCATCTCTCTCTCTCTCTCTCTTTAGCTGTCATGTTTCTAGAGCACTGGAAGCGCAGACAAATCAGTCTGAACTATAGTTGGGATCTGACAGGCATGGAGGAGGAGGAGGTACGTTCACACATGAACACAGTCACATTATGTTACTCACTAATCACTAGTGTTTGCATGTCTGGATTCCTGCACAGTGGCCAAGAGCTGATTTCAATGACAGTGTTTCCTGACACTGACCAACTGAAAATAACTAACGCTGACTGTTATATGATGCGACACAATGGTGGCGTCCCTATCCAAAATTATTCATGTTTTTCCCCCAACGCTGTGTATGAATGTCCCCATGTGATCTCAGCCAAATAATGGACTCACCAATTTGTTAACTTCTTGTTTCTCTAAATGCAATCTTTCCCGCCAGGAAAAAGCGAAGGTTTGAGTTTTAAGTTTGAAACTCTCTTCTTGCTGCTCTTTGAGATGTTGAGTCTTTGTGTCCTTGTGTTGCCCTGGATTTTTGACCTGTTTGAATGGTTTGAAGCTCTCTGTCTGCAGCTGTGCACTTGGTCTCCACCTGTTTGTCCTTTTCTCTTTAGGAACATCCCAGACCCAAATATGAAACGATTCTCCTTCAAAAAAAGCAGAGGAAGAAGAAAAATAAAAAGAACAAAAATGAGGTGGGCAGGTTGTTTTTTTAAACCATTTTTATGTGCTTAATGCATTATGCATTTCATTAATGGCTGACTTAAAAAGATCTAAATATATTTCTTTTTGGCTTCTGGCTGAATATGCAAATGCTTTATTGAATAGAGTCAAAAAGGGAACTGCCATGGTTGTAGGGGCAGAGATGAGGGGGTGCCAAATGCTGTGGGCCTTTTACACAGCCTTCCCATCATGCACTGCTCTGGCCTGAAGCATTTGCAACCGGTGCTTTGGGGCTCGTAGGCTGCGCTTTGTGTTGGTGATGCTCAAGAAAAAAGGAAGTCATGCAGATCCAGTTTGGTTTCCGGAAAACTGAAATTTGCATTGTTAGCTAGTGTTTTGCCCTCTTTTGTCAGCGACTGTGTGACAGTTCAGATATGTGTGTTCCAGCCTGAGAGAGGTGTGGACGAGAGTGGGAAACTGGGGAAGGACAAATGGAGGCAGAGGTTACTGTCAGCCATGGCAGCTGGGAATCCGGTAAATGGCGCTCTCTCTTTCTCTTTCTCTCTCTCATTCTCGCCTCCATCTCTCCAGAGCCTCGTTTCCACCTGCTTGTGTTACAGTTTCTATATTATACTCCCTAGTTGTGAGGTTGGAAGGTTTTTTTCCCCTTTCGAACTATGTGACAGCATCTTGACCCAGCAATCCAACTCTGTCTTTATTTTGAAAGTTGTTCTTTTTTGGTCTATTTAAGGCAAGACACTGTAGGTGAAAACTACTTTTCATGAACTATTTGGCTTTTTAAAACATATTATTTCAGACTAGTGGAAAGCAAGCATCTAAAATACATTTTTAAGTGTTTATTTTATTGCACTTTGTCTATTTCCATAGATTTCATTAGTTTAGAACAATATATTGCGTAGATTTCAATATAGATTTCCATTATGTACAATATTTAAAGGCCACATTCTCAAATTGAGCCAGAAATGGCCACTTCAGTAGCAAGGTAAGTTTATTCATATGGCACATTTCATAGACGGTGGTAATTCAAAGTGCTTTACAAATAAAATAATTCTAAAATAATCACAGCATAAGAAATAAAAGTAGAATGCTTAAGAAATATTAATAACAATAAAAAGAAAAAAATGATTATAATGATTAAAAAAAAGAATTAAGAATAAAAAAGAGGATGCATATAAATTAGATATTACCTCATTTGTATATTTAAAAAACATTTCAGAAAACTATTTTCTTAATTCTTCATGTAATCTCAATTTTTTTATTCTTAATATAATCAATAAACCTGGGAAATATGGTGATATGTAATAGTCACATTTGTTACCCTATTCACCACGGATGTCTTGCCTTAAACAGTGTCACTGTGATGTCATTCTTCTCTGTCTGCCCTCTAGTCTTTTACCATTTCCTGTCAATAACTTTGAAAGAATGACTTGCGGCCCATTCACACATGCACAGATGCACATTTAGTGAGAGAATTTGAGCCTGTTTAATTTGTAAATGGCCATGTGTCTGTCAGATTGGCTCAGCTGGGTGGGGTGGTCATGATGGGGTCGACGGCATGAGCAATACGGCCATCTCTCACTGCCGTAATCCTCTTGATGTAGGACGGAGCATGTCGGGCTAATACAGTTAGATCTCGTCGGTTTGCTCTGTTGGTTTCACGTAACTAAATGTTAGTCACGACATAACAACATTAAAGGTTTCTTGTCCTTTTACCTAAGGTCAAGTGTAATGTCATCGTTGAGCTCTGTTCAGTAGTAAATACTGCAGATCACAGCTGTATATAAAAAGCATATGCTCAGTAAATAAATATGTTGTCCAGGAAGTTCTCATTTGTTCACACATGAGGTGTGAACCTCAGAGATTTGAGCATTTCGTTCGGAAAATGTAGATTGTGCTCGTCTGTTTGACATCATTGCTTGGGGCCGTTGTTTTGTGTGAAATGCAATTAGGCAAATTAGCCCAATAAATTAGGACTTTTTAGTTGATATATGACATGGCTTGTAAACAGGTAAACTGGCATCTGTAGCCTCGTTTCTTTGTGTGTGCGTCGTGTTACGCATCCAACTGTGTCAGTAGTTCAAGCTTCTTAAGGTTTCTCAGGGTTTGTAGAACATTAATCCTGGTTTAAAGTCAAGCCTGGACTCACTGTGAGGTTTCTGGCCTTAAAGATTAGTTTTACGAATAATAATAATAAAAAAAATCTAAATTCAATCCGCTGGGAATTGAAGTGTTTACCAGGCTGCTACAATGAGAGCTTACATAAAATAAACATTTACTGGATTTGCTAAAGATTGAAAGGCATCAAATCTTAGACAGTCAAAAGAAATAAAACAAAGGCAGTCTGTAGGAAGTAAACAACATATGCTTCAGCACACCTGTAGGTATATTGTGCTTCTCATATCGGATTTCAGATTTATATGCCGATAAATGTCACTAAACAAACGTTTTATGCTGAATATCCTTAAAACAAGATAAATTTACTTGAGAAGCGATTTTTAAGCTTAAAACTCTCTAATTATACATGTAAAATAAATAAGAAAACAAGATATAATATCTTATGCAATTTTGGTTCTCAAGTAAATTTGTGTTTGCACATCATTACCTCGAAAAAATGAAATCTTTGTTTTTCTTCCAGAAATATTAGTTTGGTAAGTAGTGTAAAAATAATGAACGATTACAAAATACACGACTCGATGTCCTTCAACTGTCTGTCCTATGTCTTTCCCACTGGAAAAAAAATGAAAAGTTCAGCTATAATATTAGCAGTTGCTATGTCCTTCATGATGCTCTCTGGTCTCATTGTGCATCCATAGTCCTCATTAAAACTTGTTCAGCACAGGAGGTGTGATGTTGTGGCATACATACATACAGTTCAGCGCCCCCTGACCTAATGTGTAGCCTATTTTTTTGTTTTTTGGGCCTTTTTTGTCCAAGAGTCACAGATTTCAATTCATCACTCGCATTATGGTGCTTTTTCTCATTCTTATGTTTAGCTACTCTGTCCCAGATATCATGGCCCACGGTCAGTCCTGACCTAGATGTTCTGCAGAACCTTAAATCAAGACTATACATCCTAATGACTTAATTCAAAACAGCCTGGACTTAAGATTAATGCAGTTTGGGTCGGCCAGACGTCGTAAACAAGGCAATTTCTGCTTAATCTTCATGTGGGTAAAAAAAATGCAGTAGTTAAGTCATTATTATTATTCAGCACATACTCGCTGTCAAGCAAATAAGCAGCACTCACCAGGGTCCAGTTGATGCTCATCAGTTTCTGCAAGTGATGTTGTGGTGGAAAAACCACAGCTCTCAGGATTTCATGACTAAGCGCTGACAGACCTCCCCATGTTTCTCACAGCTCATTTGTATTGCCAGAAGACCCCAAAATGCTCTGAATAAACCAAATAAATGCTGGAGAGGCAGAATGTCTGGTGAAAACCTCCAGATCACTCATTTAATAGGCCACATGGTACGTGTCCGGTTTGGGGTGACTGCGAAGAGAGCAGATGATGAAAGGTAGTCAGTTCAGGGAGTTATAAGGAGTCACTTATGTGTCACTTATTTAGCTTGAGACACATGCTGAGTTTGTTAAAGTGTGACGTTCTAAAAGAGACGTGCTGTACCAAGATTCAGATTCAGTGTGGTTCAATGCACAGGCTGTCCAGCAGAGCGCGCTAGACTCCAGTGCGTTTGTGTGTATATGCACGGGTGTATGCTAACGTCCTCCCATGGGCTGAAGGCCAGACCTCTGAATTAAGCAAAGTCCTCACATCTCCATGGAGACACGAACACTTGAATCCCACTCCCTTGCATACGCTCGGTTGGGTTCGCTCTTATCTTCAGCTCTTTAAAGGCCTTTATCTCATAACTATGTCATCTTGACAGCTATCTTTAGGACACATTAGTGACGTTTGTTAATAAAATGCAGCACACCCTTTGCGTGGCTAATTTTAGAGCGCAATATTCTCACCGCCTCCAGAAGCAAAGTCAGGGAACAGTCCTCATTATCTTTGAGGAGGAGGGTTGCATTTGCTTTCTGAAAGTGTGCATCTGGCTGAGGAGGAGATGATCAACGTTTGACCTCTGACTGAGTTGTTATTTTATATTATGCTTTTTCACTGCAGATTTATTAAATTCTGCATTAAATTCCATTCACTCTGGGTCCAAAGGGCTAAAACTCTCTGTGGCCAAAGATTGAAAGGTTTTGTGGCATGAAATCTTGGATATCCAAAAGATATAAGATTGAGGCAGTAGCAAGTAAACAAGATATCCTTCACTGTAAAAAAAAATTCTGTAAAACTTACGGTAAAAAAACGGCAGCTGTGGTTGCCGGAATTTTACCGTAAAAAATAAATACGGTAGCAACATTTTAGGCTTTACGGTTTTATCTTAAATTTACAGTTAAATACCGTAATTTCATTAACTGAAATAATGTTAATATACCAACCTATTGAAGTAGCCTACTGAAATCTGTTTTGTACCTTTGTAATACACTGATAACCATCAAATACAGGTGGTGATGAGAAAGTCACATGATGAACCAAAGCCCATCACAAGCAGCTTTTAAATAATAACATATATAGAAGGTACACAGCCCATCACAAGCAGCTTTTAGATAATAACATATATAGAAGGTGCACAGTGTGTCATTCACACAAACACTAAACACCATCATGGTAACACACATGAAATTGAAAAAATGCAATAAACATTCATTTAGCAACATTAGGTGTAACACACAACCTTAATATACAAAACTGTTAAGAAAAAACTAAGAAGAAACAGTTATTTCAACAAAAAAACCATCAAATTTGAAATGTATCGCAGAGAATTCTGGGAATGTCAATTTACGTTATTACTGTAAATTTATGTTATTCACTTTTTCACTTCCAAAAACGGTATACTACCGTAAAATTACATGTAATGTCCAATACGGTTTTTCACCGTATATAGTAGGGGAATTTACCGTTAACCATTTAACAGATTTTTACTGTAGCATTTTTACAGTCTTTTACCGTTAAATTCACGGTCATTTTTTACAGTGTTCAGCTCACCTCTATATTGTTCTTCTCGGATCAGATTTACCTGCCCCTAAATGTCATGTAAAAACCCTTTATGCTGAATATACGTAAAGCAAGATACATTTACTTGAGAAGCAAAACTATGTAAGATAATAACCCTTGTTTTCAGAGAATTTATCTTGAATTGTTTGTTTTTGGTACACCTAATTCTTTTAAGCATAAACCTCATTAATTATACTAAAACCTCTTTAAATAATTAATAAAACACTTGTGCAATTCTTATGCAAGGAGAGTTTACTTTGCTTTCTGAAAGTGTGCATGTGTGTGATGGAGGATTTCTCTTATTTTATTAGTGATGATATTGAAGTCTGAGCAGGAAGTCTAGGATATTTAATACACAATATCGGATAATTAAATTTTTCCATCTGTTTTATAATGTAATCCATCCTACACTTAATCTATGGTCTGGTGTGCTCCTGCTCAAGCTGTTTA